CTCTCAAGGTGAGCGTTCTTCGAGACCCTGGCGGCCTCGGTGTCCGAGTGGCACCGGACGTCCATTTTGTCTGTTTTCTGGAACATAGGCAAAACAACACAGAAAAGAAGAAAAGGGAGAGGGGGTAGGAAAAAAAAAAAGAGGCAGAGGGGGACAAAACCCCTACAACGCAGCCCCTAAGCTCCGTCGCCCGCGAGAATGAATGTCCCCGCGGGGTGGCTTCGGCGGCCGCGGAGGTCAGCGGCGACAGGAGAGTGGCGCGCTAGTAGAGAGGCGGCAGGTCTGGTCCAGGATCCCGGTGGAGCAGTGGCGAGGCCGCCTCGTCAGCGCTCGCGTTCTCTGAGCACGTCCAGTGTCCCCAGCCTGGCGATCAGGTAGCGAACAGCGCAACTCCAAAACGCTGCGGCTCCGCCTGTTACTGAGACGGCCGAGTTGTGGTTGTCCGACACCCGGGGGACGCACACTCGCTGTTGCAATTGATTACGGGTAATTTCGCAGCCCCCACGTTTCAGTTACCTCATGAATACACTAAATTGTTTGGATAATATATCAGATCGTAATGGATGGTTTCTGTCCTTGTCCCCAATCAAGTAGGGGTTTAGCCAGTGAATAAACGGAAATGATTGGTCTTGCTTTCGGGAAACACAATCAAAGACCCACACTTCCAGAAAAAACTTTTGACAAGATTCATCCTGAATTGTTAGCACCATTAGCAGGCATTATTAACTTTCTCTTTGCCTTTGACCTTCCCGCTCGCATACTGGCTAAAGGGGGTTTTCCTCCAGGCTCTCCATATAGAGCTGAATGGGGGGGGGGTACCCCCTCAGTCCGTGTAACTGAAGAAAGCAGTTGCCTCTGGGTGGGGAGAGAAGGGAGGAGGAGAAAAGTTCCCCCCCCCCAAAGTCTCCCCCACACACACTCCAAAAAAGCCAAGCTTTCTCCCCAAGCGACTCTTTAACACACCTCGATGCTGACAGCCATCTTAAACGGCCGCCCCTCTTCCTGCAGCCTCAGTTGGATTTTTTTTTTTCATGCTTGCACCTCCAACAGCAGCCTCAGTTGGATTTTTTTTTTTCATGCTTCCACCTCCAACAGCCCTGAGGCAACCCATTCAAAGGGCAGCTTTGTACTCAGAGTCCAGCAGGAGGGGGGTGGAGGGAGAGAGAGGGAGAGAGAGGGAGAGAAAGAGAAAGAGAGAGAGAGAGAGAGAGAGAGAGAGAGAG